AATGTTTTGTTCAGCTGAACGTTTTTCAATTTCAGTTAATGCTGCAAATCCTGCAGGATCGAAATACGCATGCAACTAACAGTACAAACAATAGGTCGATTAGGATTTTCAAAACGACTAATTGCTTCTATAATTATTTACGATAAAACAACGAACTATGGAAAAGAAATACGGTTTTGATTTTAAATTTCTTTAAAATTTTCATGTTTACTCTCTGAAAAAACAACCTTGCTTGTTACTCTATGTAGTTAATTCAATATTTGAATATGATATTTTTTAGTTGATAATATGTGTTTTGCTTCTAAACTTTAACAGAAAAGTGCTTTCTTGGTTACAATACTAGTGGTTCAATGTTCTTTTTAATAATTGGAATTATGTAACTAAGAAAATCTGAGCAAAGATGGACACCAACAGTAGTATAAATCTTATTCACTTATCTTTAATAATTTCATTTGTTCATCTTCACTGTCAAAATAATACAAAAATTCCTTCAATGATAGTTGTTTAAGTCGTTTTTCTAATAAACTTTCTTTGTTGTCGTGCTGTTCTAAAAAATGTTTCAGTCGCATAAGTAAATAATAAGCCAATCCAATGGATGGATATTGACGACCAGATATTGCTTTGGTGGCAAGATAAAATGGTTTAAGAATCGAGTGTAATACTGACAAAACATTCCAATCACCACTTGTTAATTCGTATGCAGCTAATTTTTTAACGTGTTGCTGTGTGATCTTCAATTGGTGCTTCTGACTAAGTAAGTTTTGAACAATTTCACGAAGAATAATAAATGAATTAATCATACAAAATGGACTGTTCCAACATGATTTAACATCATAACATAAGGTTCGATCTTTTAATATTTTTTTCGTTCAGCATCAAAATATAATGTAATAATTGTTGATCGTTTAATCATTGACGTTAAACCACGACATTTTTTCAATACAAATAAAATCATATTTTGTTTACGAACAGTATCATAATCTGATTGAATAACATCTGTTGTCCAATTATCCACGCATTCTTCATCACTGTTATCAAATAATAATTGTTCTTCGTCGTTCGAATCAAATATTTCCGATGATTCATCACCAGCAATATTTATAATGATTTCATCATGTTCACCGGGTTCAATAATATCATCATTATTGTCTATTTGTTCAATATTTGTTACCTTCTGTTCTGAATCATTCAGCCTGTTATTCAAATTATCTAAACAAAAGAAAAATATGACTTTAAAAATAGAAAAATTACAAATATTTGTATTTGTGAGACATTTCATCAATATTATATATATACGAATTGAAAGGCTGAATAATCACCAAGTCTCTCTGTGATAGCTGCTAAAATAAAGCAATGGAAGACCTGCAAATCGAATACTAATTGGTTTGATTATTATTTATAGTATATTCCTAGAAACTAGTCAATTGCAATGAAATATCAGAATTTTTATTTGCTGAAATAAGGCAGTTAAAAAATCGAATACTAATGATCTGATTTAAATTTTTTTCCTTTTATTTTATTCATTCAGTCCTTTTAAGTTTAATCAGACTGTAAAATATTAAATATCAAATAGTTGTTTAGTACCTTGTCCCAAAGCACTTGAACCATTTTCATTATCTTCTTTCTTCACGATTCAAAATCCAAATGCATTTGTAACAGAAAGATGAAGTCGGTGTGCAACACACCATACACGCTTTAAATTCAAGTGCAGGTCATGAATAGCACGTACTACATTTCGACCGTCATCAGTAGTCACTCTAACTAGCTTGTGTAATATATTAAGTTCCTTTAACTTCTCTTGTAATACTCGAAGAATATCAATATATTTATGATGAACATTAAATGTTGAAAAATTTAAAATCGTAGACTGTAAGTCAAAACTATTTTTTTGAAAAAAAAATGACCAGTAATTACTAAGAATGATCGCATCTGTTTATTTCTCCATAAATCCAGAGTTATTGAAATATCATCAATTAATGCTAAATCATCAACTAGTTTCTTAACATGAAATTTATAAAGATGTTTTAAATGACGAGTTACTGAGAATCGACTTGGAGGCTCATAACCTATAAGAAAAAAACAGATTTAATAACGAATAAACTGACATAATTTATCAGTGTGTTCATTTCATTATTTACTATCTGTTAATATACTATTTGAGAAAGTACTAATTCAAATAAATATCAGTCACTTATTTAGTAAACTAACCTGGAATGAGTTCTTGTAAAATTTGTTTCAATCCGGGTTTCTGAAAATCATTAAATGTTCTCCCATCATGTATTATACATTTGGTGAACAATTCATATAAATTTTTGTTTTTTTTTGCTACTGAATGATGAAGAGATTCTTTTACGTTTATTACTTAGTAATGTTAATTCATGTAGTTGATGTTTTGTAATCAAAGGTCTACGTAAAGTCGATGTCCACCCATTGTTTATTGAAATTTTATTATCATTTGGACATAAACAACAAATTGAAAAATTAGAATTTTGACAACGTATGGCATATTTCCATACTTGTGATGATTGTGCCGATATTGGTGTAGTTAAATCATCGTTATTTCTTGATAATGCTACGGCTTTATTTTTTGCAACTTTCAATTTCTTGTTATAGCTATTGATGTAATGAGCATCATCATTAAGAGCTTCACCTGATGCAGAACTAGGAGTATGCATGTTCACATGCTGTTGTTGTATTAGATAAAAATAAATGTGTTGGATTCGAATCTTTACTATTAACATTATTTTGATTGTTCAATCGATCTACAATTGTACAATCCGTAAGATCGACTAAAATTGACCGAGAAACTATTTTAATCTTATGTTGTCGTGAATGATATTTGAATATGAATATAAAGTAATTGATGATTTATTGAACTTTGATAAATGTTGCAAATGTTAAAAACTAATTAAATAGCTAGAAGATAGAAAGCATAATAAATAAACATGAATATGTGCAAAAAAATTACATGAACAGCAGATTCAAAGTGTTAATCAATAGTAAAACAATTTCAATTAAGTGTATAATCAATTGGATTTTAACAATAAAATTTCAAAATAAAAAAAAATATCTAAAAAAAATTCATCACTTCATTGAATCTACAAAAACATTGTACTGCCGGTGAACATAGTGAACAAAGTCACGCACTTTCGTTTCATTTTTTAGCTGCATAATCCGATGTGTCGGCTGAAATGATCAAAGAAAAAAGAAAATATGACTGGTCGTTCCATTTTTTCTTTTCAAACTGCGTAATATGATTAACAAAAGAGAGAATCTCGAGGATATTCGTTTCTAATATCGAATGGTATGGAAGAAGGTTAAAGAATCTGGAAAAGTGAAGGAGAAAAATCAGTGAAAGCGGGCAGAAAAGAAGAAAGAAAAAGATGCAAGGACAGATGCTGGAAAAAAGATATACAGGGCATCGCGTATACCATACAGTGATAAACAAAATATATTTTGTTTTTTCTTTAATAGAATTTAACATTAAGTAGAGTCAGTTGTAACAAATACATTTGATAAGCTTAGCTATTCAGCCTATATAGTCTATCACCCAATGGGAACATCCCATGTATTAAGATATTTTGTCCGAAAGATGTCATCATACTCCGCTTATGAAGTATAGTTAATAGTAATCATCATCAATGTGTCAGTGAAGTCACCGAGAACCATTCATCACTGACACTGATGATGTCTGTAAGTCAGTGATCAGTATCAGTGGACATATCGGTGTTCAGTGAGCATCAGTGTTGGTGTCAGTCGGTGTTCAGTTTTCTCACATCGCACATTCTTCATTACTGTGTAGGTGAAGTTAGCACCAGATTTGAGTAATTCCTGCCCATACTCGTGCTAGGAGCGTTTTCGGCATTCTCATTTGTGTCTCAAGTAGGATTCGACATGCTCTATCAAATACTGAAATAGGATTCCCGATAACTTAAACATTCGTGTATCATTTCGAACATATTGATTTTTCCTTATGGGTTCTAGAGAATCCACGCAGTAACTCTACCTATACTCACTCAGAAAATGTTCCAAATGCTCTAAGTTTTTATACACGTACACCTCAATATGCTCTATCGAACGTAGAAAGGGGATTCATAATACCTCTAACGATTCGTGTACACTTTCCAGAAGACTGACTTTCTCCCTTGGTCTTCGGCTTTTCACAGAGTAACTATAGCCTATATCCGTTTGCAAAGCCTGCCACGTACTTACATTGATGACCCAAGTAGAATTGAATATGCTCTATCCAATCGCGAAAATGGATTGATGATATCTTAGACCATTCGATTAGAAGTTGAAAAAAATTGATGTTTTTCTTTGGCCCTAGGGAATTCGGAGAGTAATTCTAGCCCATATTCGCTCAGGACGCATTCCAACTGTTCTTATTT